GATGCTTGAACTTCCAGGCCTTATCTCTGCTGATGCTAAGTCAAATGCTTTGCGCAATGATCTCCAACCAGTGTGCCATGTTACGAAGACACGAGGTGCACACGTTGACTGGTCGAAGGGAAAGTCAAGTGCGTAATGGGGCGCGATAGCCAGAAACAGACCCCCTTCCCAACTCCCAGGCGCAGATGAAACCTCGGAGCCGTCGTAACGGGTTGTCGTTGTATTGGTGAAGACTACTCGATGTCGCTGTATTCTGTTGCTGCTCGAGTATGTGCATACGGCCCCTAAGAGGTATGCATGGTTTTCAGCGGTGATAGTGATTGCCTATCGTTGGTATTGTATATAGCTGCCCGCTATATGAGAGCATTTTCGAATGCTAGCCAACTTGAAGAAGCAGTCCAGCGCATCCATGGCAAAAGGCGTTCAGCGTGACGTTCGATCCAATCTAACAATCGGACACACCCACGATACTGTATGTTGGTATGTTGTAGTTGATGAGGGCAACACTGCATGGCCCGCTCATGTTCCTCTTTGAAACAAAGATGATAGATGTTATCCTTCGAACTGGGAGGGGCGGGAGGGGAGCTTGTCGACCCATTCCTCCATCGTGGTGCCCCTCATCAGATCCCGGAACTTGTAGAATGTGAACGGTCTACCCCCGAGCATCCTTTTCTGCTTATCAAATTCGATCTTGTCGTGCTCAAACAGCTCAATCCTCGTCTGTTCTAGGAAATCAGGCAAATGATCACCCCAATCACAGCCAGTCTGATTTGGCCCATTGTTTGCTTTGATAACGCGATAGCTGGGAACTTCCCTGATTCCAAAAGCTCGGCTTGCTCTCCTCAGCGCTGAGCATAGTTCCTCGTCATCTAGGTCGTTTCCAGCATCACTCGCCCACTCGCGTATGGCCGCATATGTGGTGTAGGAGCCCTGGGGAATGAATGTCGCCAAGGTCAGTATGAACTTGTCCATTGGCCAAAGCTTGCTTGAGTTTGAGATCCGGGCCCGGACTTTTTGCTTCTCGGTAGACTGTACATCTTTCATTTCGGCTTCGCATTGCTTTTTGTAGGCCTCGATAGCTGAGATAGCATCTTTTCGGAAGCTCTGCAAGCGATCGTGGTTGCTGTCGAGTGGTGGTTCCTCTAGATAAGCCTTTGTGTATGGGTAGGCGTCTATTAGTTGAGGTGTAGTCCTAAGTCGCCCTAACAGGACAAGCTGGTGTGGCAGAGTAGCGAATGCTTTATCGCTAATAAATTCGATCGGCGCGAACGGATCATGAGGCTGTTGGCCGGCTGTCAAACGAGCTCTCTCCTCGTCTTCTTGATGCGAAATCAACTCCACCACCCTGGAAGTTTGCGACCAATCGAATTGGACGTTGGCGACATTGTTCGTGGGTTGATCGATGGCCATTTGGTCTTGATCTCCAAGATTGGGTGGATCGCGGTTTGGGGCATCATCCGAAGTAAGCAGATCATCAAAGCCATGTCCTTGCATCATGGTCCAACAATGCTGTTCTATCTCTAGCAACATTGCATTGCGGACGCGTTTCCTCTCTTCGATAAATCCTTTTTGAATCTTGTGTAGGCGCGTGATCTGATCTCGATGATAGGCAAGCGCCTTATGAACGATGTCGGTCCTCGGGAGCTGGACAAGCCTCTGGACTCGTTTGAGATTGAATTCGATCTTTATCTTGACGCGCTCTTCGCGATCGATCGTGGTCTCTCGCCTAATCTCCTTTCTGATCTTCTTGTTGTTTGGCATGGTCGGATGATGTGTTGATGTTGTCGAACGCGACGGCTGGGAGGTGTCTAGAGCGTCCAAACGCGTGAACGCGTCGACGCGTCAGGGATGATCGACAGGGCTGTTAGCGTCAGCAAGGTATCTGACTCCGCGACCCCGCGTCGTAGCCTCTTCCTTCAACCTTTCCATGTTTGCCGCACGTCTCTTCTTTAGGATGTTTTGGATAAACTTGCAAAGCGCCGAGCGTTTCCCCGGTTGCTGGAAAACCAGAAGTCATTCAACTCCGTCCTAAGCCATGATCCGTCCTAAGCCCTGCGCCGTCACCAACCACCCTCTATCCGATCACGCCTCTTTGCACACCAGTGTTGTGTCGCAAAGAAAGAAAAGAGACTGTTAGCTCTACTGGAACCTACTATCGCGAAAGCAGCTGACAGCGTGGGTGCTTACTGGGCATGGAATCGACTAGTACGACCCCGCTGCCAGCCTCCGTCCAGATTTCCAATTCCCATGAGCTGTGATAGATGAGCAATGGTGAAGTTTGCCGTCCCCTTGAGCCCATGTATGTACCTAAAACATTGTCGAATCTGGAGTCCGTTAATATTTGCCAAGCCGGCTTGATTATAGCCACGTAACCGCTCGGCGCTCGGGTATATAGCAGAGACTTTCATCCCAAGTTTCCTTTAGTAGTCATCCAGTTGATACACTCAATTTTATCCGATCCGGTCTCTCCAGTTCCAACAGATATTCAATACACATCTTCTTCTTCCAGTACCTAGCCATCTCCTACAATGCTGGATCACATCGGCCTCACCGTCCCAGCGTCGCGATTCGAGGAAGTCACGGCCTGGTACCTGGCCGCGCTTGCACCGCTCGGTTACAGCAAACAGATGGATTTTGGTGGACAGGGTGTTGGCCTAGGCCCAGACAGGTTGAACACCGTTTTCTGGATTTTCGGCAAGGGCGATGCTGAAGCAGCTGCGACACACTTCGCATTTCGATGCACTGATCGAGATGCAATTGAGAAGTTCCATCAAGAGGGGGTGAAAGCCGGTGGGAAAGACAATGGGAAGCCGGGCTTGAGACCGTATCATCCAAACTACTACGCTGCCTTTGTAGTGGATCCTGTTGGGTAAGTGTCGTCGCCAGTTGGTGGTAACTGCATTCGGCTGACAGGTCTAGAAACAATGTCGAAGTCGTGAGTCACGATGTGCCGCAATAAGTTCAAGCAACAGGAGCATGTATGCCTCGACAATATCTTTAGACGTCAATGAGATTGAGCATCTGATGGTGATCGATTTGAGGTGTAGCCGTCTCTATACCGCCTGCCCGTTTGACTGCTGCCAAGACCCGCGTTTGTTCACAGCTCCTTCCACCCAAATCACACTCTTGCCTTCTCAACATCATCTTCGACCTCGCGCCATGCCAGTGATGTCCAAAACAGACCGCCTGCAAGGTCTGCTCGACTTTGCTCGCCAGGCCAATGAGGTCGAGCAACATCGCGTCTCGCTCGAGACTTTCCTCGCTGGCATTCAGCAAGAGGATCAAGACCTCGATGAGGCACAGCTGAAGCAGATTCAGGCAAGCCAACGTATGCCAAGCCACCTACCTTTGCTAACAGGTCAGCTCACCATCTACCAAACGCTCCTGGGTCTTTTCAATACCAGTATGTATGACCACGCCATCTACGAGAACCTTCCTAAACGTAAACCAGACGATTCGATCTCAAAGTCCACTCAAACCTCCGCAATGACAGCCTCATGGGCGACGCAGACCGACGCGGCGACAGACTCCCTTTGGGATCTATTGCCTAAAGCTCGCGAAGAAGCCTTCCAGCGCGGCCTCGATGCTGGAAAAGACGACGGACACATCCAAGGAATCAAGGAAGGCCACAGCGCTGGTATGACGGAAGGCCTGGCTATCGGGCTCAAGCAGGGGCAAACGGAGGGCTTGAAGACAGGGTTAGATCAGGGCAAGGAAGTCGACATGCAACGCGGCATCGAGATAGGAAGAAAACTCGGCTATGCTGATGGTCTCGCTGAGCGCCTGAGACAAACAAAGGAGAAGATGAAGAAGCTGGACGAAGAAGACACCAGCAGGCACATACCACAGGTAGAAGCGACTCGCGAGAAGATCATCGTGAAGCTACCTTCAAGGTTACCCGCAATGATCATCAAGGAGGGGAAGGAGGAAGAGGCTAAGCCCATACCGATGATCAATGGTATCGACCCATTTGCGTCACTTTTGGGTCTGGCACGCAGGAAGTAAATGTGCGTTTGGAGGAGATAGGAAGGAATGTATACAAAAGGAAGATACCCAATGGAGCCAGGCGAAGCACAGTCAGTATATCTTTGATTAGGCTTAAGTTAATCTACTGCGGCTTGACATGAAACTTTGCAGACCACAACTACTTAGCAGCCAAGACTATGACCCCACGAATACCTGAGATTCAAAAGCCGATGTTTAAATCGTTAATCCAGCGGCGCATACGCGCACGTAAAGCGCATCGCAGCGGAAACTTCAATACACACGTGTCACATGAAGTGCCAGCAAATTTACGACATTCAGTAGCGATATCAGCCTGTGGCTAGATCTAATAGGTGACAGCAACATATGATATCAGCGCTTCGCTTTCGCGAACTATCAGTCACATGCTCCGGGTAGTCTATAGATCACTTCATTCCACGACTGTTGAGCGTTGTAGTTTCCAGAATGTATAAGAGTTATCTCACACTCGCGCTCCCACATGGCCCACTCACTCATCTATACTAACACAACAAAAGCTCGATCAAACTCTTGCCACAAGATGTCTAACCTCATGTGGCCTGTACACGACCAGGTTCTCGAAGGAAGCTGGGAAATAGCGCGCGAGATATTATCGCGAGTCGACTCCATTCACCAGCGCCTTAATCGAAGCCTCCAGTACAGTAACGATCGCGAAGAGCGAGCCAGCATCCGAGAAAAAAGGAGGACTCTTCGCACATATGCTGTCCTCTGTGAGCGGACCTGGGAGCTCTATGAGTGGGCCCGCAATGATGAAGGGAAAGCCGCGCGACCAGAACATCCTTGGGACACTGAACCAGCGGCGCATTCGAAATATGCGGAGGCTTTGGGACTCACGAAGGATGAGCAGCCAATATCCCCGATGAGGGGCGTGATAGAGCTACATCAGAAGTTACAGGAAGCCTTTGAAACAGGAGCGGAATTGTTCTATTGAAACACGCGCGCGAATGAATTGATATATTGGACAGTAATAAACACCGTCATATCTCCTTAACCCTCTCCATTAACCCCTCAACCATTGCATCCAGCTTCTGAACCACATCCCACGGCGCCTCTCCCTCCCCTGCACTAACACCCATAGCCTCGCCATACACATTCCCCCAAGCGGGATACCTTAGCATCGGACTCCTCGGATGCCAGTCTTTTCTCCATCTTCGCTCTTCACTCTTCAGTGTATTGATCCGCGCTAACAACTGATGTACTTCTACTAATGTAGGAATGTGTGCTGCGCGACCGATGGTGTATTGTTTCGAGGGCGGTGTAGCGGCTTCGGCAGCTCGCCATCGGGCTTCGATATCGAGGGTCATTCGGTGTAGGTTCAAGGCGCGGGCTGAGACGGAGTAGAGGAGGTAGTCGTGTTTGGCCCATGCGGCTTCGTCGTAGGGGATGTTCGGTGGGGGTGGGCTGAGGTAGTGTTTTACGGTCGGACGAGGGGCGGAGGCTGAGGATCGTGGTGTCTCGGCGAGGGATATGGGAGGTTGCGAGGACGAGTGTGATGTATGGGTTGCGGAGTAGGGTGCGCCATCGGATCCGCGTGGCGTGCCGGTGGCAGAGTATGGTGCTCTGTCTGAAGAGCGTGGCGTTGGAACGGGGCCCGATGGTGGCAGTTCCGAGTAGCGAGAGCCGTGGAACGATGGTTTTCGCGCTGGGGTCGAGAAGTGAGAGGGTTGGTATGAGGACTGCGGACTGTTCTTCGGTGACTCAGCTGAGCGATGAGCGGCGATCTTGGATGAGAACTTGCGCAACATGCTCTTGAGGTTGATGTCAGTGATTGGTTGACGATGGAAGGCCTACCTTGTCGAGGGGATTGTGGATATACTGACAATGATGAGCCTGGCAGGAAGGCGCCATTCACCATATCTGCCATTGACTGTGTAGGTTCATTGTGCTGTTCCAGGTTTTTGCATATCTGCAGTGAATTAAGTGACTTGAAGATGGGAATGTGAAGCAAAGCCTCAACCTATGCGCGGCCAAGTAAAACATTACATGTATCCTCACCGCCAAACCTGGCGACGTGCCAAAAGCCATTTCACTTCAACTAGGAACACCCTCGTACTCCCAACCGTCGACTAATCTTCTCTTTCTTCCTCTCTTGTTCTCTCTCCGGTTCGCTGCACATTTGATGAAAAAGGTAAGCACAGCCAGCAAGAAGATAATTACAGCCGCAACTGTCGGCACAACGACAATACGCGTACGGTTGGTGTCAGTAGTAGGAAGATATGGACACGTCGCATTGAGTCCAATGACCCAGCAATCCGGCACACTCAGACTGTTCATGTTGATGTACAGCGCATCTTCATCAGGAGCGGCAGCTTGCCAGGCAGAATAAAGATGTGAGTTTTCCAGCGCGGTGTGAGGTACGCTGAACTGATATGGGTCCCGACAATAGCCCTCAGCGTTCGCGTAGTAGGTTGAGTCGTCCGATACACGCCAATTGTAGGGTTGTCGTGGATCGTGGCAGGCCACGCGATGGCGTTGGTTGCAGTCTTCTATGCGCCAGCGCTGTGGATATGGCGACTTCATCATGACGACGCAGCGGTTGTCGTTTGTGTCGTCGCCTTCTCCAGAGGAATTGAGAGGCTGCCCAGGTGCGAAGGTCCATAATGTTGAGTGTACGTATGCGGCGTAGGGTAAAGGATTCTTGTCTGCAGTTGTGTTTGCGAGGGTTTGATTGAGGAAGGGTGTGATGCCGCAGGCGGTAAGATTGGTAATGGAAGGTATAGTTGACTGAAAGTCCGGCGTCGCGCTAACATCAAGTGACGGTGCATCAGCGAGAGCCCAAGACGAGTTTCTTGTTGAAGTCAAGGTGTTGTCGGAAGACGCAAACAAGCATCCAGAAGTTACACGCCCATCGGAGCCAATCGATACTGACTGCTCGTCGATGATAGTTCCGGGAGGGAAAACGTATTCGAGATCTGGTCCGAAGTTGTACTTGTCCATTTGCGGATCGATTGTGCCGTAACTAACGACAACCCGACGTAGCTGCTTGAACTCCATGAAAGCTTCTGTAGGCCATCCACTTTGTGTGAACAGCTGTCCATCGGCATTTTTGGAGTCATCGTAGTAACCAATCAATGGGCGGTTGGACCAATCAACGTCATACCACGAGCTGTTTAAGTTTGCGCGTTGGTCATCCAACGCGTTTGGCGTAAGGGTGTTATCGGAAAGATTACCCTGCAACACATCACTAAGGAGTTGCCCGTCTTCAGGAAGCTGGTCTTGCGCAAGGTTCGGTGCTGGGGCGTCCGGATCGGTGATGGACGAGGCAGCATGCACGTTGAACGTGAACATGGTTATCTCAGCATCAGTCGTAGTAGCTGTAATCTCGAGAAAGTCCTCTACGATACCCGTGAGCAAATCCAGCGTCATCAGAGATGTACAATTGTAGCTCCCGATTTGCAGGAGCGGTGGTCCATTAGGGGTGGGGAAGTCGATTATGGTCGGCGTTGCTGCACTCGTCGACGATGTAGAAGACGAAGATGGGGTAGATGATACCGTGTTTGTTGAGCCCGATGATGACTCTGCAGACACAAGAGCCGATGTCAACGTCTCCTGGCGTTTTCCAAGCTGTGGAGGAATTTCCAGTGTAGATAGAGGAGTATCCGCACTCAATCTGTTAGTTGTAGGCACCACTGTTGGTCCCGTCGCCACTGGTAAAGCACCCTCATCTGAGCTGTCTTCATTCGACTGGGGTAACTCCACTGGACATAGACTCCATACTGAACGTAGCGGATCCCAGTAAGTATCGACTGTGAATTGTCGAAAGCCGACAGCTAACAAGTTTGAGAAGCACTTTTGGAAAGCATTATGTTCGTACTGGTTATTCGTGAAGCAGGCTTGAGCTAACGATACAGCTGGCGTAGTATGGAAGTTGATGGGAAGTTGAAGCCCTACATCTCGTTGTGCCTACCATCAGTCAGCGATTCTGTTCGCTGATACTGCGTATGTCGAGCATGAGCCGACGGATCTGGAATGGTGCCACGAAGACCGCGCATGGACGTGTGATGGAACACAACCCCAACACCGTGCGACTACTTCACTGATGACTGCACGGAGTGCAGATAGCTGACACTTACTCTAAATGCCTCAGTCCAGGGCTCTATCCAACGCGTGTTCACAGCGCTCTGATCCGGGTTATACAACTTGTTAGCCGACATTCCCGCTGGCGAACCCGGGGACCAGCACCGTAAACACGTGGCTCACACCTCGCGTGCAACGGAAGGGATGAACGACACCCGTAAGCAGGGAACGCGATAAGATATGTTTAGAAACAGGATACAACGTGGAGTGTTCGTATATGCAGATGCAGGTGTTGATGGGTAGGATGTCGTTGGGATCTGCAGGGCTGGATGCGCGACCGCGACGGACCAACGGCATCACGTGGCAGGCCGCTAGTTTTCCCACCAATCCCCTTCCGGCTAAAACTCGACTGGCCAATGATGACGATTCGCATCGTCAAACTCACCGTTCAAAACACCAAGACTGCAATTTGCCAGCGACGATTCCAGCAAAACGTCCGGTGGCTTGCATCACGATTAAGCACCGGGTCGTCTGCAGAACGAGTGGGGGATATGGGGTATTACTGTTTACCCTTGATATAGTCCAGGTGTTCCGCATATTGTTCCCGAAGATTAGAGAAGGATGAGTACAAGCCTCGCACATACGCTTAATACGGGCGTTATAGCTAGGCTTACACAATACCGAACCCGCGTTGCTGGCAACTCGCTACCTACCGCCTGTAAGCGAGAGCTCGTGTCTCACTGTTCTGTACGACCTTGATCGACGTCCGAAAAAAATGTTGAAAGAGCTTGCCGGCTGGATGCTATGCAGGTCTGCGGCGCGAGGGAAATCGGACAATACGTTGGGAGCGCATGGAAGGTTGCGAAAAGCTTGCTCCAGGTCACTGGGAGTAATGCAGGTATGCGGCGCACGCTGACGCTTACAGCACGGATTGCCACGAGTACATTAAACGGGAGAAAAAGGGCCGCTGCAGGAGATGATGAGGTACTGCTATTACGACCCAGTTTTACACGGGATGTCTCCTGGCTGCGGATGCAACGTTGCTGTTGTGGTAAAAGGTCCGCTAGCTGTAGGCGATCGAAGCAGCGTTGCCCACGGTAAAGCCGAGAGAGTCGGAGCGGTGACTCCGGAAAATTTCTGCACCTTTGCAAATGAGGTGAACGAATAAACGAATAGAAGGCTCCAGTCCATGGGGGTCTTGGAAGGATGCAACGCAAGCCGCTGATGCGGCAGGTGCACTTCTGCCTCCTGACAGGATGGAGAAGCAAGTTGCAAGCAAGTCTGAGATAGCGACACCTGCGAACTCTGTGTTTGGCATAGCAAGATGGTATCGTTGCATCGAGAGGCCTCCATTTGGAAAGTGCGTACACTGCCACAGGAGGCGGCGATCATTCGGCAGTGTCAACACATTCGTTCGCAGTCGCCGAAGCCGAAACCGAAGCAAGCCCCAGTATCGGCAAAAGCAGAAACCACGGCTCCAGCTGTTGCAACAGTTCCGCACGTCCGCGGGGATATCCACAGTTGTTTGACGTCTAACGTCTTCACTGCGTATGCACACAAACAAACGAAGTTTCGCCTGGACCCAGTGACTCCACAAGACTGTTGACGCAACCGCTTCCCGTGCGCGTTTCACCGAGGCCATCAGAAGGTAACCGAGCGTGCCGAGCAGCTCGAAGTCTGGTTACGAGGGTCTTGGTCTGACACCCGTCTGACTGACTCTGACAGTCCTGCATACCCCTACATATGTAGTGCAGTTGCGAAAGCGACGCGTTTCGTGCATAATTACTACCTCAAAGCTGGACATGCGATCCTGGACATAGGAAAAGGTTTCACCATCTAAGCTGCATGCACATGTCATAAGTTCGACCGGTTGGTAGCCCCGCCACGAGCCACAGACTTGAGGCGGAGGAGGTCCGGCACGATCTACGCTAGAGGACGACGTTGTGATGCTTGTGCAGATCGAAGGGATCACGACATTCACACGCAGGAACCTACCGTCAGAAGGGCCTCATCGAGTCCCCTGATGATGTTGTTCGTAAAAAGAAACATGCTCAAGACCGAGTTACGCCGGACTATCGTAACCGTACCGTTCAACGTTCAACGGTAAATGGGGATGTGCATGCGTCTACTCGCCCCCGAACAGAAGCGAATCCGATGTCCCACAATACCGCCGTCCCTGGTACCGATGAAGTCGCATTGTGACATGTATGGGCCTGAACCAAAGCCGATGGATCGCGGACCCGAGGGAGTGGAAACTGAAATACTCCCTCTCGAGGACGGCGACCTTCCACCAACGGCTCAGCGACGGCGTTGTCTTTAGCATCACAGGGAAGGGCGGTAGACTATGGGATTGAACGGCGACATCCTCTCGACGGCGCCCACCCGGTACCAAAGTTCGAAAGACGCTATCGATTAGACCTTCTGTGTCCGCATTAGGGTACCAGAGTTTGAGCTATGCCATATGCACAAATTGCCCGTGTCTTTCCAACGCTCCTTGCACCATTGTGGACATGGAGATATACGCTAGTCGCAAATCTCGCGAGCCGTCGCGCACTAGAGCGTAGATCAAAGTCTAATAGCCGTAAACGGTAAGGCCACCAGTAGCCGCATGATCGAAGTCCCAGTGTCTTGTTTTCAGTGTTTTTCTAATCGCCGACCCTGGGTGTAGTGGCATTGGCTGATTGGAACGTTGACGTGGACGGCCCAACGATCATACCGAGGACGTTGAATCGTGAATTGCAAAAGATGCGATTCGCTCGGATGTGCGGTGGTAGAGGGCCAGAGCGACCGTACCGCACCGGGCGGGATTGAGTGTATGATTCGTGAACACAGCTAGAGCGAGGAGATCACGGTGGGCGTATCTGTGCGTACAAACTGGAGGTGCGTGGACAGTTCGTAATTTCCACAGCTGCAAAGTAAGTGTGGCATGGGGAAGTCTTCCGAAACTATTGCCCGCGTCACGGATTGCTATCGTGGTATACGTCCATCCCAGGGAATCCCTGGGGACATGTTTCCAGAAGTGCCGAAGCCCATCTTCATGTCGCAGGTATCACGGGTGACAGATTCTTGCTCAGCGGTCCAGAGCCCCACCTCGGCCACTATTGGTGGCAGTGTTAGGAAAAGGAGCGACCAATCAGTCAATTTAGAAGAAGTTATTGTTCGTCAGCTGTGTGGGTCCAGTCCAATAAGGAGACGGTGTAGGCGACACTGCAGAAGCTGCGACGGGTACGACTGCGTGGACTGATCGGGATCGCGGCGAGATCGCTCCATGCGTACGTTGAGGTGTGGAGAGGGGTTTTCAGCATGGTGGCTATCGCGGACGATTGTGAGTATCTGTCACGAGTGGGTACCACAAGCAGTCGAGATGTCATTGGAGCGGTGAGCTCTCGCCTGGAAGCGTTTAGAAACCTGGAACTTAGTGTTCGGCGATCGTTGTTCAGTGTGGGAACTCCTTGTTGTACCCCGTCAGGCGTTCAAGTGAGGGAACTTGGTACTGGGAGTCACTAAGGGATCGTGTGATGATTGAAGTTTGTTCACAAGGTCATAATTTGTTATAGTGTATTGTTTTTGATTGGCATCGGTGTAGACGCTTGCAAGTGCTGTCGCACCGCTGGGTATTATTACTGGCGACTAATTGTCGCAGTGTACAGTGAGACCTCCCTGGGTCCAAATGGAGAAACGCCGTAGTGTGTCGGACTTCGACATAGGCGATGCTACTTGGCTCCGACAAGCCAGAATAGAAACAGAAATGATGTGCCTCCCAACCGTGACACATGAACAGAGATGCTACATGGGGTATCCTGAGAGTCGTGTACAATGTTTCCCTTTTTAGGTGCATGCAAAACAAGAGTAGACAAGGTTGAAAAGCTTTGTAACAAGCAAAGTGTCGATCATTGAACATCGGCCATTAATAGAAGTAGGTTGTTTGAAACATGCGACGTATAGACAAGAAGGGGTATGGTGAACAACGTGAAACATGATAGACAGCTACATGATGTTTCGCAGCGACATCCTGTCCTTTGGTGAGACTGGCGCACTTCTGACTTCCGCTGGAACAGAGGGCAGCACGTAGGGTGACGGTAGTTGTCGCGCAGCTGGACTGGTGCTTGCGCTCGAGGACTGAGGGACCGAAAGTGTCGGCTCTGCGAGCGAATGGAAAGGAGGCAACGCTCGTTGGGGCACGCTAGTCGGTGCAGACTGAGGCATAGAGTGGTGGTGTGTGAGCTGAGGGGTAGGCTGGGTGAGCAGTCGCGGTGGTTGTGGTCTCTCGTAGTTGGGCTCCCGGAAGGCAGGCGCAGGCTTGGGTACAGAGGCTTCACTGCGGTGGAGTGGCGGGAGTTGTAGTGAGCCGCGTCGCCTGTGCAGGTCGTATGAGGAGTCGTCTTCGGGCGCAAAGCCAGTAGTAGGCAAGTAGCGAGTGGAAGAGCTCTTGCGCTCTTCCCTGCTGCCGACTAATGGAGCAAGTGTGATGTCGAGAGGAGAGGCTGCGCCACGAGGCGAGCGCGACTCTGAGCCAGTGTCGGTGATGAGGGAAGGAGCGCCATCAGCAGATACGATGGAGTAGCCAGAAGGCGAGGGCATGGGTGTCTCGAATCCTCGTGCTCGTACTGTGGCGGATGCTCCATAGGCTGAGATGTCAAGTGGCTGCGGGCGCGATCCGGGGTATGGCTCGAAACGCTGGGGCTGGGGCAGCTTGAG